GCACTATGGATTATTTACACACACCCACGGGGTTCACCTCGATTCCTTGCAGGGAACCAAAAAGGAGGTTTCCAAGAGTCGTATCTACAGATTTCACCGTCGGCGCCATCATCAACAGTGGGCCACGAGGGGCCGACGCCAACGCCATCATCAGCGGTTCGACCGATAAAGATCTTCGTAGAATATGCAGGAGCCAATATGGGCATCCAGGTTCCTCTATTGGTTATTGATCTGAGAGGTGTCTCGCTCATGTCTACATAGTTCTCGAACCCGTAGGGTTCGCACGCTTAACGTTTGTTGACGATATAGTGTGATATGAGTTATATGATTTGGTGACCGCATGTTGTTCGGAGTCCCAGATGAGATCACAGACATGACGAGGAGCCTCGAAATGGTTGAGAGGTAAAGATTGATATATAGGACGATGGTATTCGGACACCGAAAGAGTTTCGGAGTGCACCGGATAGTCATCGGGTCACCGGAAGGGGTTCCGGACACTCCCGGTAAGTGTATGGGCCTAATGGGCCAAAGGGGGGAACTGATCAGCCCCTGGTGCGCCCCTTCCTTGGACAGCAGGTCCTAGGGGAAGGAAAGGGGAGGGGAGGCCCCTCCTTCCTTTCCCTCCTCAAGTGGGAAAGGAAAGGGGGGCACCCTCCCATGCCTTTCCCCCGCACTTATACAAGGCAGGGGAGGGCGCGGCTTGGGAGAGACCCCAAGTAGGATTCCTCCTACTTGGGCGTCCCCTTTGGCTGCTCCTCTCTTACAACCACTTATTTAGATATATTATAACTATGCACTTTTCCTGCCCTCTCAGACCACTAGCATTTGTATCCGTCTGATCGCCACTTTTAGGCTTCCTTAGCCGTCGGACTGAGTCTTGATCGCACCTAAATAGCGTGTACCGGCGTCGTTCCCAGCGAAACAAGCGCTAATCTTCTCGGCTTGCTGCTCTGGTAGTTTTTTCGGCCCTCTGAGATTCAATATGTATGTAGGAGGGGGTAGCCTAGCACACAACAGACAATTGCCTAGCCGTGTGCGGCGCCCCCCTCCACCGTTTACACCCCGGTTATATTTTCGTAGTGCTTAGGCAAACCCTGCGGAGATCACTTCACCATCACCGTCACCATGCCGTCGTGCTGCCAGAACTCATCTACTACTTCGCCGTCTTGCTGGATCAAGAAGGCGGAGGACGTCACCGAGCTGAACGTGTGCAGAACGCGCAGGTGTCGTACGTTCGGTACTTGATCGGTTGGAGCGCGAAGAAGTTCGACTACATCAACCGCGTTGTTAAACGCTTCTGCTTATGGTCTACGAGGGTATGTAGACACACTCTCCCCCTTCGTTGTTATGCATCTCCATAGATAGATCATTGCGTGTGCGTAGAAATTTTTTGGTTTTTCATGCTACATTTTCCAACACCACCATCACTCAGACAAGAGAGGCGAAGGGGTGGCGTGGGAGTTGCAACGGTCGAGGGATCCTAAGTAATTCTTAAAGTAGAGTCATAGCTATTGTTACATGTAACTGTTGTAGTTATGACCATTTATACTTGTAACGGCTATAGTTATGAGCATCAAGTGCCCTAGCGACGTGGGAGTAATAGAGGCTGCGGCGCACTCTATATAAGCCGCACTCCTCCTCCTAGCCTGGGGTTAAGGAATCTCTGTAAGCATACCCCCCCCCCCAAAAAAGCCTCAGGGGACGAGACGTAGGGCTATTTCCTCCTCCGGGAGGGGCCTGAACTCGATAAACACCGAGTGTCACACCTGTGCTGTAGCTAGGCTCTGCCCCTCTTCCGTACCCCTAGTACTCATTGTCAGAATCGTAACCTTACGAATTGGCGCCCACCGTGGGGAAAGGCGTCTAGCAATTTTACGGCGTAGGTGGATTTTCATCATCGTCATCATCATGTTAGTCGGCGGCGAGTTCCGTTTCGGAGCACTCAGCTTCATCAACGACGACTCGGCGTGGCTTCGTGAGGCCCCGCTGGACGTGGAGGCGCTGCCCATCCATGGCGCGGCGCACTTATGCGCATCCTCGTTTGGAGTCCTTCTCTGACAGCCCTCGGTTCCGCACCGAGTGGCTCCTCTCCTTCCCACCGCGCGTCATCGCAAGCACTCCGAACGCTCACGGCTGCAGCACTAGATCAGGCACGCCGTGGCAGAACACGTGGCGGCTCTCGAGTCCGATGAGTCCGCCCTCGACCTCTCTAATGGGCTTCACGATGACTCCTCCGAGTGCGAGAGCGTCGAGTCGACCGCAGAGGTCCTCATGGCGGACAACGCGGAGCATAACGCGCCCCCGGGACGGCCGCGCTGGCACTTTGCGCGGGGAACACCGACGGTGGCAGCGAGGATGACCTCTCCCCTGATCATGAGCAGTACGTCCCTCGGGCTCTCACTCGGGAGCAACGCGAAGAGCTCGGTCGGAGGAACGAACAGTTCCTGAACATCGCCATCATTGGAATGACTCCCGAGGCTCTGGCCATGGAGTCGACGCACTTGGCCACCTTGGCCAAGCGTGATAGCCTTGAGCGGCTGAAGAAGGAGCTGGATGATCGTGCCCGGCGTCAGCCTAGCTCCAGTCGGCACAAGCACTAGTTGTTCCTAAGTGATCAGCCTCGGATGTACCAGGTCCTCAGCACTCTGCTGCAAAATTTAGCGACGGCTACTCAGATCGCTGATTCCATCGAGCCCTCCGGCTCCACGGCTAGGGAAGGGATTCGTTAGATCCGGGTGCTCCTGAAGACGGCATTGTCGCAGAATGCGGCGGTGTCCCAGTCTAGAGATTGCATCCACACCACGTCGGTGCGTGCCGAGACCTTTGATATGTCCATTTTGCATCATGCTTTCCTACTGTTATTTATAGTGTAACTGGCCTGAATGAAAATAAGTGATTAGCGATGGTAACTATATGAAGATAAAAGGTGATCCAACTCCAAATAAATTATACCTTGGTGTTACTGCCCCCAGCGTTGCATGATTAAGTCAAGTTCATATCTAGTAGCTCCAAGGTCATATGTAGTGAAAGCATGTGTCGTCCACATGGCAAAGATACCAAGATTAACTCAACTAAGTTCATGATCAACTTGTCTCAATATTATTATTACTCCCTCCGTTATTAAAATAGGTCTTTCTAGAGATTTCAACAAGTGACTAAATATGAAACAAAATGAGTGAATCTACACTCTAAAATATGTCTATATACATCTGTATGTGATTGTTCATTTGAAATCTCTAAAAGGACTTATATTTAGGAACGGATGAAGTATTATTTTACATTATTATTTTGTGTTGCTACAGCATGGTGGAAGAGGACGAGGAACCATTTGCACATACTTCAACTGCTACAGCATGAACCATTTTCCATGACAAGGTGAACACTATGTCCAGGTGCGAATCCTCGGAGCCACCGTCCAGATCCAGCGCAGATCAAGACATCGCCACGACATCGATGGATGTCGAGGCGGATGCCCGGGGGCGCCAAGCTGCCAACCATGCCAGAATGCCCCCTTCCTTTCAGGTTAGTGACAATCGTCCCAACTGTTTACATTGTTTAGGGAAGGGAAGAAAGATGGCAACAGGCTGCCTGTTGCCGTTTTCCTGTGGGAAGTATCATGGACTATGTTGGATCCTAGCAGCATATAAAGCTAGGATGGATGGAAGTACCCGGAAAAAGAGATCTGTTTGAAGCTATATCTTGCTTGCTTGCTTGTTTGTTTATTTGCCAACTGCAATGGTCCTACCAATTGCAGGTTTCTTTTGAGGCACTCTACTGAACATTCTGCTGCAAGCATGTGCCCACCATCTAGACCAGCACATGTTTTTCCTTTCTTCTGCTTTGGCATAAACAAGCACATGATGATCTGAATTTTCTGATCTAACCATTAAACCATGTAATTTCACCACCACCTAAACCAGTACTACATGTTAACTATGTAACTCTCAATTTCATCAGCAGATTTAAACCATGATCCTTTTGAAATTTGGATTTTTTTTTGTATGTAAGACTCCAAACCTCTCAGAAATCGCACAACACTTATTTTTTCACTATTGCAAGGACTGGAAATCATTTTTCAAAATACAAACGGTCCCAGCATCGATTCAATTCACCAGTACAAAAGAAATGCTATTTAAGTGAATCATAGTTTAAAATATTTTTGGCTATCTTTTACTTAGGTATGGAGCTAAGCAGCCAACACAATGTGCAATTCACCAGTACAAAAGAAATGCTATTTAAGTGAATCATAGTTTAAAATATTTTTGGCTATCTTTTACTTAGGTATGGAGCTAAGCAGCCAACACAATGTGCTCAGCTAACAGTACTTCCTCCGATCCATATTAATTATCGCTGATTTAGTATAAAGTTGTACTAAATCAGCAACAATTAATATGGATTAGAGGGAGTGCTTAATTATTTCTTTCTAGCAAGTACAAATACTACTGACATTCTGCACAGATAAATCTCCAATGCACGGATGCACCACGGTAAACAGTAAAACCAAATACCAATGAACAAGGAAAGCAGAACATAACGTTCTCTGGTTAGACAAATCAAACAAATGCCAACAGGTCATCACTAGGTTGTTTCTCAGCAGTATATATACTTTAAACTATAACTTAGTACAATTAGGAAGTATGCAACCCTAGTCACTTCACAAACCCAGTAATACCATACAAGAATACAACAATGGTCTGCTGAAGGTGTTCAGCGATGAATATTTCCCCTCCAGGGATAACAAAGTAAAAAAAAGAATCATGTATGTGAATTCTTGCTGTTAAGTGGACATTCCAGCCGAAAAGGGCAACAGTAGAAGAATGTGGCAGTCTGTTAATTTATTTCCTTGAGCCGATTCCCTCTACCGAATGGCCATCAACTTATCACTGGCTACTTTCTATAGCTGAGGAATTGTTGCAATCTGTTGTAGAATAACTCTTCAATGCAGAGAGGCGCCATATATTTCCTCAGCTTGCTGCAAAAATGTAAGCTCCTTTGCAGCATTAGTCTCCGTAGACAAATTTCTTTTGCGTGTAGTACTTGTCTTCACTCGCCTTCTTTTTCAAGTTTCTTTTCTGTTCACAAACCCCAAGAGTAATGTTTAGTAGGATAAACAGGACTTAAACAAAGTAAATTAGAAAAATAAATGTGTATTTATCAAGCAAGTCGCACTGTGGGAGTGTATACCTTGTACGCTTCGTGGTTATCAATTATTCTTGTAGCGACCGAAACAGATGTTATTGTTTTGGGGCTTGTGACTACTTGGAAAATACCCATGCTCTTTGGAAGGGCGTACGGATCAACTTCACTCTGCAGCAACGCGTCCATGAAGTTTCAAGTTCAGTTTGTGCCAACTACGTTAGGTAAGTTTGACATCAGGATACATTTTAGACTGTAATTAAGAACTTACAGCAGAACCACCCTCGACTACTGTCCCATGCACAACCAATGAAATGTTGAATGTAGTGATCTGCATCATGTGACAAAAGAAAAGGTGTGAGGGTCTGCTAACAAAAAACATCTCTGCGTCATATACAATACAATCATTGCTAGAACCATATGCTTGAAATTTATCCAGTCAGGTACAAGAAATAGATGGAAACAAACTATAGAAATTTATAACATACCATATCCCTTGAAACCTCCAATGGTGCGCCTATTATAACTTCGTCAACATAGCGACAGGCAAGTACACCAAGGGTACGCTCATGGAGGTGCATGATAGGAGGATAGCCTCTTTTTTCCCTGCACAACTGGTTCTCATAAGCATGGTATCTAACCTTATACAATACAGGCTACATATTTTTTTTCTGTAGTAACACATAACATATATTTATATATGGTCAACAAGTTCCCTTGATAATCCAAGAAAAGATGTTAAATAAGTACCTGATGGACTGGTCATCATGAACACCGACAAGAAGGAAGTCACCAAGTTGCCTAGCACTTCTAAGGATCTGCATTAGAGAATAACATCAAATATGTTTTAATGGGAAAGTATGAACCACACCAAAAACCAAACTTTGTGAGTTATTGAGAAAATTATTTGCATGAGAACCACAAAACGTACCTCAACATGACCAGCATGGAAAAGGTCAAATGCACCATCTATATAAACAACACGAGCACCTGGTGAAGGAGCCTGAACGCAAATGAGCATATGTTTCAGTAAATGCAACAGAAGGGCATGAAACGTGTAAAATTGAACTGTAAATGTTTTTTCTGGAAAGGGCAGCATTAAGATCATGATTAATATGGTACAACGGAAGCATTAAGCGGTATTTTTAAATTTAGTTACATTAATAGACAAAGATATGGAAGGGGAGCCTTGGCGCAGTGGTAAAGCTGCTGCCTTGTGACCATGAGGTCATGGGTTCAAGTCCTGGAAACAGCCTCTTACAGAAATGTAGGGAAAGGCTGCGTACTATAGACCCAAAGTGGTCGGACCCTTCCCTGGACCCTGCGCAAGCGGGAGCTACATGCACCAGGTTGCCCTTTTTTTTTAATAGACAAAGATATGGCAGGCCATTTTCTTCGTGCTCCCTAGAAGGCTGATCAAATTAAGGAAGAACAATATGCAACATTAGCCTTGGGGATGGAGTTTCCTAAATTATCATACCTGCCCATTTGAAAACTGCATTATCCGGCGGGAAGTTGGAAGAAAATTGGATAGCTGGGTTTTCATCTGATCGCATGATTCCACTCCAGCATTCTCACTAACACCCTCTTTATGCTTGAATGTTTGCAATATTCTCCCTGTGTGGACAGAAATTGTTTTCATGTAAGATCGCAATGGACAAAAAAGGACATTGTCTGAGATAAGCGTGAAAAAGGAAATGTACGATCTGCTCTGATACAAGGCTGTAAATAATATGCAGCAAGAGAATATCTGATCCCCAAAAAACAGTAGCTTTACTAATCCGCATGGTAATCTTACCGACTATATCGGTGCTTGAGACACCTTCAGTACGCCTGATTTGCTTGTATCGTCCAGCCTTCTTTGCTAAGGCATAAGCATCCGTTCCATCAGGTAGAAGACAAGGGTCATCTCCATGTATAATGTAATCAATGTTGTATTTACTGAAGAGGGTATTCATAAATTCCTCCGTAATCTCATAGGGTGCATTGGGTATGACTTCATCCACCCACTTTAATCCACTAACAAGCGTCAACCTAGGGGGTACAAACATACATACACACAGAATAGTAAGTTCAAATGGAAGACCAAGACCATGTACATCTATCAAAAGCTTAGTAATTTACAGTTGCAAAAATAAGATAGAACTTGATCATCTCAATATTTTTTCATAGTCTGAAATTTATATCCTTCAAGGCACGTGTGGTGGTAATGTAACCTCATCGACGATATAGTTGAGCGTACGCAAAATGAATCAGCAGATCTTGTATTATGCATGAGAAGATTAGAAGAGAATCATAGCTATTACAGTAATTCACAATCAAAGATCAGGTAAATAATGAAATCCAGGAAGTCCAGGTATTCAGAAAAATTTCAGAAAATATCATACTCGTAATTCGTTTGACTAGCTAATCCTCTGTTGAAACAGAATAATGTATTTCACAGGACAGGGAAAGTAGCGCCAGTAGTACCTCTCTTCCATCGAAAGCACAGGCGGGCCCTTATTCGCCACAATCTCCTCGTCACTGACAACGCCCACTACCAGTTGATCTCCCAGCAACTTGGCCTGTCGCAACGCGTTTGCGTGGCCATAGTGCATGAGGTCAAAGCATCCATCCATGTAGACTCTCACGGGCCTTTGCCGTTCCTTCTTCTTGGGGACTTGTCCTAAATATGGCCAAAAGTATGGAGCAAAAGGAGCACCAATTCCTCCAAAATAACCCGTAGATAACCAAAGAATTGCAACAGTCACCATAACTCCTCCAATTCCAAAAAACTGTGAATAATATCCGCCATTCCAGAGCCCCTGGTTGTTCTCAAATGCCAGCAAACCCATCATCATTTTGAGGTGTAGAAGTACTGCCCTGGTATTGGTTCTGAAAAAAAAAAGTAAGCAGCCAAAATGAGACCTCATAATCGATGCATCCTCATGCAAGAAAGGGCACCATGTATGCAATAATTATACAAAGGAAACGAAAAATGTCTCGTTCTCCAAACTTTTTGCAGTTCAATTTATTTTGTTATGTTTGGAAGCGGAAAGTGACTCAAAAGTAGAAGTGCCTTTTTCAATACTTTATCATGAAAGGATGGATAGATACTAGACGTATAACCAGGACTATTTGCATTTGCTCAACGTGCTTAGCTGCGAAGTCATGTTTGACCAAATCCTAACCACCAGATATACTGGAAAGCTACAGATTGAGCCAAAAAAAAATTTGTTGGAGAAGTCAGAACAGACTTAAATTGCGTCAGTTAGAAGCTACGTAGCAACTAGTGGAGCTCAAGAATCCACGGGATATTGCCATAAATTTTGTTCGGAAGAAATATTTTCCAATAACGTCGATTGTTCAGACCACTCTATAAAAAATAGCCCCAGAACACAGGAACATGCAACAAACCGAAGTGACTGATCATCTGAATATGCACTGAAGGAAATTCTGGCAGGATAGGGAGCATATATGATCTCCAACTCTCTGAAACTCGAATTGTCGCCAAAATCAAGCGAGGAATAATCTGATTCTCAGCTCAAATTTTGCATCGCAGCCTATCAAGCACAACTAAGCATAGAATCTAAAGGTGCGTGGGTCCAACAGAGACAGGAGCACAAACGGAATCACGAGAGGTGGGAGCAAGCGAATAAAGGCATCGGCCCGAATTCCCCCACCATCGAAATGCCAATTCCAATGCCGCAAACGGCAGAAATAATTAAATGGCGCCGCGCACGCATGCGCCCACCTGCCCACGATCCGGTGTTCAATGGACATGAATCGATCGTCCTGAGGTACTACCAACAAATATGGAGCCGAAAGGGAGCAAAGGGGGCAAAGCAAGCAACATCTAGGAACAATTTCCGGGGATTTTCGCTTCCTTGAACAACAAGAAGAAGAAGAACAACAAGCGGCGAGATTCGGAGACAAGAAAGGCGCGCACCGGAACGAGGGGGGCAGGCGGCCGAGATCGGGCGCGCGGCGGCGAGATTCCGCGGGGATCTCCGCCGGGGCGGGGCGGGGCGGGGCAGGGGGGAGAGCCGCCGTCCCTTCGTGGCGCGGCGGGGGAGGCGGGGAGATCTGCCTGCCTGCCTGCCTGCCACTGCCGGGGCGCGGTGCTGCGTGGGGCGCGGTGCGGAGAAGTATCTGCTTTGGCGTCTCGCTTGTCTCCGTCTGGTGTATTTTCTAGGGGGAGGAGGGAGGCCTCCGGAGACGAGACGAGACGACAGCTCTTCCTTCCCCCTCCGCCTCGCGCGTGGTTGTGTGGGCACCCCTCCACCAACTGATTCCCCCGCGGGGCCCACCTCCTCCTCGCTATAATATCGCGTGTCTGACGCGTCCTCCTCCCTTGGCTCTCCCGACGATTCTGCGCCGGCTCGCCGTCGGCCCTTGTCGACGGCCGCGGGTGCCCAGCGCTCGGCGCAGGACCGACCGACCGACCGACTCCGTCTGCCCCTGCCGTTACCCCGACGGAGAGAACGAGGGGAGGGGAGGGGAGGGGCGTGAGGACGGGAGAAACGGATCCGAGAGGGCTAGCGTGGAACCGTCGCCGACCAGAAGAAAAAAAATCTCCTGCTACACTTTTTTTTATTAGTATCAAATATGGCTCATTTATTTTACAAACAATTAGAGTTTACACGACTCTGGATACAATCGGCGACACAATGACAATTGACAGAATGAGCAGGGAGTTCACTCGATGTAGCCAACACATATGAGCCACCTCATTGGCAACACGGCAATTGACTGAAATTTTGTACTTACGCGTGCTGCGTGGTTGGCCACAGCTTTATTTTTCTTTTTTTGCCATTGATATTGGCACATGTGGCTGGCAACAAAAAAAGATGTTTTAGAGCCAGTTCTTTTCATCAGAGTATGCAGACTCTAGGTATCTGTACAATCTAAAACACACAAGAAAAGTGAGATGATCTGGCTATGATCCATGTGTAACTCAATATCAATCACCACCCCTGTTTTTAGCGATTTTGGTTAGTCCTTCGGAAGAAAACAGTTTTAGGTTACATTCGGGATAAATGACTCGTGTCAAGTGAGGACAAGCAAAGTACTAGTAATGCTTCATACAAAAAATTATTAGGACTTATTTTGCTTCTCGAGGTGGTTCAACTGTCTCGGGCCAGGTGTGAGCCATGTCCTAGTGTAAGGTGACACGTGGAAACCATAGTTGCCGTCCTAGGGTCCCTCCTTCGACGACGTCGGAGGGCCTGCTGCCCCATAAGTGAAAGTCGAGCTCCCATTCCAAAGAACGTGCACAACATCGCTTCTCGGACGATCTATAAGTCCAAGCGCTATGCACCTCGCCTCCCACGGCGCCACGAGATGTCAGTTGAAAGGATGGCTCGATTATGTGAAGCGGCTAGAGACATGCACCAGCTTGCGAGCTCTGATATTCGGATATGACTGCATTTGTACTGAAGGCTTGCCTAGTAATGGTACTTGTTTCGTTGTAGTGTTCATTTTCATTATCTTATTATATGACAATCCTCTCCGAAATCACACTTTATTTGTTATGTGTAGCAATGTTACTCTTTTTATGTGTGTGGCAGCGCACAGGCATACATCTATAGTATTAATAAAGTAGTACTCCTTCCGTTTCATAAGTCCTGTCATGATTTTAGTTCAAAGTACTTCTTAGCGACTAGCTATTATGAGTGAATTGCAAAAAACCACCACATTTGGGGCATCGATTGCAGAAAACCACGAGGTCGCTAATCATTTGCAAAAAACACCGCACATTCAGTAAACTTTTTGCAGTGTGCACTGATCGACCGATTTGCTTCGTTTGAGTGCGTTTCCGACAGATGGGGCCCGGTTTCCCCCTACGTGGCATAACGGACGGCAAACGGCGCCGTCTGGTCGAGACGACTTGGTCGGCTCGCGTCGGACCGGCCGACCGCGCCGCCCCCACTCCACTTCTCACTCACTCGCTCCTCTGCTCTCCCTCCCGCTCTCAACCTTGCTCTGCCTCCTCTTGTCTCCGCTCGCCGCCGGCCGCCATGGTGTCTTGGAGCGACGGCTCGAGCAGTGAGGACTCCGAGGTGCAGATCATTTCTTCCTACGACTCCCCTATTAAGGTCAGTTGGTTCCACCGGGACTGCATTTAGGGTTTTGATTTGGGCATTTTGGATTTAGGGTTTCAGCTCGATTTGAACCAGTACATTTGTGTTGCCCAGATCCCACCAACAATGGATGACCCGTTGTTCACTGGTTCTGCTGACGATTTGAGGGTGATGTGCGAGCATGGCAAGCCAGGGAAGAAATGTGTTGCATTCCAGGGGATAACACTGGGAGAAGGTTCATTGCCTGTGCCGTAGAAGTAAGTTAGTAAATTAGTTGCAATGTGAAACCTCTCCTGTGTAGTACAATTCATCTGTTCTAGGGTTAACTGTTCATGTTCTAGGGTTTACTGTTCATTGCTCATAGTTCCTGTTCATGGTTCATTGATATTGATTTATGTTCATAGTAATTGTTCATGTTAGGAAACATGCTCACAATAATTGTTGTTTAGTTTTTTGAGTTGAATTGATCTAACTGAATCTGCACCTTAACTGTAACCTGAACTTAACTGAAAATGTAACATGTGACATGTTTGAACTACTTTATTTTGTATTGCAGGGAGTTAATAACTATGGATTAGTGCAGTGGGTAGATGAGGAGTGGCCAGATCATCTGCAGAATGCACTCCACAAACTGTGGCTTATGTATGAGGATAGCATCCAGGCCAATAAGATGGCATGCCTTGAGCATTCATTTACTGTGCACAATCTAGCACAACAGAAAAAAGAGTTGCACGAGACTTATGAGAAGCTTGTTGAAGATGTGAACAACCTCTTGGATTCTCAGGATAATCTGCCACATGAAACTGATATGAATGTTGCTGACAGCAGCATGGAAAAGGATGCTAAGATCAAAAAATTGAAGGCAGTTGTTGATCAGTTGAAGTGCATTCATGTTGCTCAAGCCAATGTCATTAGGAATTTGAAGTTCAATCATCTGAAAGAGAAGGAAAAGATGAGCTCTGATAAGAGGACTTTGGAGTTTAGCTTTGCTGACCTGAAGAAAGAGAAGGAGAAGCTGGATTGTTACATTGCTGAGTTGACTAAAGAGAAGGAGAAGTTGAGCATTGAGAAGAGTACTTTGCAGTGTGCTGTTGTTGACCTGAAGAAAGCATGTGAAAGTAACAAGAGGAAGCTGAAGGAAATCAAGGGTATTTGTGGTGAAGAATAAATTGTGCTGTCATATGACCATGTGGGTCATTGTCTTTAGTTACTAGCTTTGAACTATGGCTTGTAATGTGTTAAGTTTGAATCTCTTGAACTAATTTACTTATGAAGCATTGAACTATGGCTTGTAATGTGTGCTAAATTTGAATCTGTTGAACTAAGCTGTGAAGTATGGCATGGCATGTAATGGGTTTAGCTTGGATCATTTAATGAAGATGTTTGTAGTGTTTTTTTTATGTTGGTTTGTGATGAAAGGTCTGTTTGTAGTTTGGATCCTTCATTTAGTGGTTGGTCGACGCCAAGACACCCAAAGTGAAAAAAATGGTTAAATTAAGGTTGGTCGACGTCGTGACACCCTAAGTGATAAATTTGCTTCACTTAGGGGTTGGTCGACGCCAAGACACCCTAAGTGATAAATTTGCTTCACTTAGGGGTTGGTCGACGTCGAGCCACCCTAAGTGACAAATTTGCTTCACTTAGGGGTTGGGCGACGCCGAGCCACCCTATGTGAAAAATTTGCTTCACTTAGGGGTTGGTCGACGCCGAGCCACCCTAAGTGATAAATTTGCTTCACTTAGGGGTTGGTCGACGCCGAGACACCCTAAGTGATAAATTTGCTTCACTTAGGGGTTGGTCGACACCGAGCCACCCTAGGTGACAAATTTGCTTCACTTAGGGGGTGGTCG